TTGAAAATTAAAAAACAAAAGGGTAGGAGAGGGGAGCTGGAAGACTACGAGACAGGAGGCATCACACCAAAATGATCTTTCGCTCATACTGTCCCGTCATCCTCGGTTGTGACTTAGCTTTGTCGGCTCGCTCCTGCACCCCGTGTTCATCACGCCGCGCACGCGCAGGCACATTGAGCTGGTGGACGACTACGACGACGACGGTGGCGATGGGCGAGGCGCCATGACGACGCGGGGCGTGCTTCGCAGCGTCAAGCTGGATCGCTACCTCCACGTAGCGCCCTGGCGTGGGTATGCCTGGCCCAACCAGTCGCGCGCCCAGTTCTACTTCCACCGCCCACTGCACGAGCTCTTCGGCACGTTCCTCAAGTCGGGCCATCTGGCGCTGGACGGCATTGAAGAGCCGGCCTTTACGCCCGAGGAGGTGGCGGCCGATCGCACGCTAGGTGATAAGATCGAGTCGTCCAAGAACTTTACCGAGTTCCCCATCTTCATGTACTTCCGTCTTCGCCGCATTAAGTAGACGGATTGCATGCAACGGCCCCTTCTCGGCCTTTGGCCTTGGCCGCACCGGACAGAGGGTTGGAGGATGTCTGAATCGTATTCTAGTCGGTTTGGACGAGATACATGTACAGTTTGGCTCTTGATTCGGGTATCTCACGACACAATGCCATGCATCATCTGTCGCTTGCTAGACTCGCGTGGTACAGGTGACAACGTAGATTTGGCATGCTATCTCTAATGGCGTAACGCTATGCTTCAAAGAAAGGACGAAATAACTCAATGCTCCATGTTTTGAGAACATGCATCGGTCGCTTGGTTACCCGTGAATGGACCGTTCACACCCATAACAGAGCCTCTCGACACGTAGTCTCGGGTCGCCCTCGGGGCCGTCAAGATGACCAATCTCGCCCCTCCACCGTTCGTTGCCAGCCTCATCGAGCGGCATGCCACAGACCCGACAGCCAGTTGGTGCTCCGTCGTCACTGTCGTGGGCATGATTATGGCTGTGCCCGTGGCGCTCTAGTTTGGCTGTCGTCCGCACGACGTTGGCGACAATCGACGGGTAGTTGGCCTCCACCTCAGTGAAATAGCGTGTCATAACCTCCTCAATGCTGAGGTCTTTGTGGGAGACAACCGCTCCCGCAGATGAAGCCGGTGCCGGCATGAGGACAAAGTCGCCCTCTGTCAGTGGCGGCTGGGCCACTGCGTTGAGGTAGAGAACCAGCTCGTTGCGGAACAGTTCCCGCACAGGGTAGTAGATGGCGATCTTGTGTCCTGCGCCGTCTTCCACGGTGCCATCGTTGATCAGCCACGGCAACGAGAAGCCACGGCCCTTGGCCGTCTCAGCGAGCGTCCTCTCTGCCAGAGCCGTGGTGCTGCAACCGAGGAGCAGGGCATCGTACGGTGCAGCTTCTGCTGTCGACGCAGCCTTTGATATCAACAGCCGCCGCACAAGGATGTCCAGCACGTCTCGCCGAGACGTTGCCGACGGAAGGTTGGAGAGGCTTGCGCGTAGCTCCGCCGATGTCGACGGGCGGCGTGTCTGTGACGTGTCTTGTTGTTCTGTTCTTGAGGGCGGTGGTGGCAGCAGTGCTGCCCAGTCGATTGTATCGAGCGCCAGAATGTCCGTTAGGGGTACGCGTTCAAAGGTGAAGCGGGGATACCGCGCCCGCCACCACTGAAGGCACTGCTCGGCCGGGGATGGTGTGTCTGCATCTGTATTCATCCCGTCTACTTCTGTATCGACATGAACGACATGGAGGTTGAAGGCGGCATCCCTGCCCCGGGACAGCCGGCCGACAATGATCTGCTCACAAATGTCCACGAGCGCAGACGACGAGGGTCCAAATGATAGGCCCACATAGAACTTCCGGACGTTGCTGTTGGGGGCACCACCGCCGGGCCGGCCAGTATGTGAGCTCTTGGTCTCGCGGTTCAGTACTTCAAGGCGCTTTACGGCTTTGGTTTTCACAAAGTGAGAGAAGCAGGCACTGCTTGAGTTAGTCATAGCTTACTTTCTCCCTTTTTTTTTGTTCATATATATATTCAAAAAAGAAACATTCAGCATTCCCCGAGCCGCGTCTGAAGCAGCCTCGCCGATATTGACTTACTTGCAAATAGGATCAGCTCGGATTGTGTGGACAGCCACCTGCTCTCTGCACCGCCGACACTGATTGTCGGTCCCCGCTTGCGTCATGGTACCTTGAAAATAGAGGATAAAAAGAACGAGGGGGTTCAAGAGCAGGGTTCTCTCCTGGCTGAGCCTGCAGGAGTACGTATATCAGCGCCACAAGATTCCGGAATGGCTGCAGTCTGTTTATTTTTGTTGATATTTATGCTCATGACATAAAGTTGCAATCGGTTTGTAAGTTCAATCGATGGTCATCTAGATTTTTTTGGCTAAAATTTCGCCAAAAGCAGTGAAAATGGCCACCGGTGTCACTCACGTGACACTAACAAACTGGCCATTTCAAATCTCACAATCATCGCGACTCCTGATCTCATAAATATCGTTATGAATGAGTTTTGATACTATTGTCGAAAGTGAGATTCAAAATAGTAAATGTCTAGAAAAGCTAAGCAGGAAAAACACATATGAAGCCGACACATGTGTCCAGCCTGATTGCTTCTAAACTTAGAAATGTCCCATGACATATCAATATCATGGTCGCCAGACCGCCGGAAGAGGAGACAATAAGCAACGTGACACTTTGTCTCTCTCTCCGGATGACAGCTTGCGTTTAAGTCTTGCCCAGCTCTTCAACTAGTCTCGACTGATATCCGGTTCTTGTTTTTGTTGGTGTCTCTTGCCTGTCTTGCCTTTCAAGCCCAACGAAAACCCCAAGCCTTCACAGGCTGCCTCTTCTCCAGTTGATGTATGTATTTATTTTTATCCCAATGAATGGGGCTGGTTTCTCGTTCCGGCGAAGTCCACTGGCTGCAGTGATTTACGGGGTGAGGAAGTGGTCAAGATGCTATGCGAGAGACGGCCCCACTCCTAAACAGTCTTCTCCATAGGTCCTCTGGTCCTTTTTCTTACTGCTGTTGTGCCATCCAATATTGGGGAATGTTCATTCGCATTCGAGATGTTTTGTATGTCGTGTCTGACGTACGAGAAGAGGCAAGCACAGCCACGCGGTGATGCCCCTTCCCTGTTTTGGCACAGGTCTGACAGGCATGGGCACGACAGGTGCGTGGAGCACGCACGCTGAAACAGAGGCCAACAACTGCTGGGCTGGCGATACCCACCCCTCAGCCCGGTTTGAGGTGTGAGGCAGCCTCTACCATTCATTCTTAATGATATCTTACCGGTCGACGGAGACGCTGTCACTGGCCAGGATGAGGCCGCCTCGACTCTTCTTTTCTCGCGCCCAGCAATCCAGTAAGACAAAACTGCATTTCAAATGCATCTGCTACGGTCACATCGCGCTCTGCGGATGACTCGGGAAGAGGGAAAGTGCCGTCTTGAAGTCTTTCATACTGTTTCGTATTAGCGCCCTGCTTGTTGCCTTCGGGCGGCTTCTTGTTCGATTTTAAGGCGTTTTTTTTGGTTCTTTCAGTAATTCCGGGCCCTTGGGAGTCACGGAAGGTCTGCTCATGACCACCTTTAGGGTGGCAACTTCGTGGTGATGGCTACGTAAGAGATGACCAGGCCGGCAAGGTGTGATGTTAGTGCCCAAACTCACACCGCAGCTCGTTGCCGGTGGAGCTATTTCGTATAGCATTTGCGTCTGTCGAAACATGCCGCGCTGTTAGTGGCCGTGTGAAGACCGATTTCAATTAAAAAGCCTTACACGTCCTTTTGCGATACCATCCGCGGTCCGTTGCCCCTTCCTTCCCATTTTCATCCCGACTGCCTTGCTCAGGCACAGAGAATACCAGTGTCAGTACAACGCCTGCCTCGCCTCGAAGATCCGTCCCTTCCCATCTCGGATCACGCTCTTTCCTCGTTTTCCTCGTCTCAAAGCACGAACAAGCTCGTCTGTCCCGCTTTATACTTCTTACATTCTGTTTGTGCCGTCTTTTCCTCGTTTCAACGGTTTGCCTGCAAAGATCTGCTGCAGAAGGGCTTCAGGTTCGTTTAGCCTTTGGTTCTAGGCGGCCGTTTAACGGAGCAGCTGCAGGGGTCCGTCCACTTTGAATGGCTGCTAGCCTGGCCATCACAACAGCCACCAGCTTTTTTTAGCTGGTGCCTGCCTCTTTTGTGTACTCTCCTGACGCTCTCTCTTTCTCCCCCACTTGCTTCGAGCAGGCACCGCGAAAAGGAAAGAGCGGAGCGGGACCCCACAATCGCAACACTGGACGGCAACTTTTGATCAGCTATTTTTCGCCCATCTCTATTTTACAGCGGGACCAGGGGGGCAGGTCTGGCCCTTCTCCATCGGACTTGCCCTTTGCGACGTTGTATTGCTGGCGAAAGCAGTGCCGGGTGAACCTTCATATCTTGTTTGGGCAAGGACCCAGGGAACTGCCGCCAATCGCAGGCCTGTCTGTACTCTGTACAGCCATTTGTATTTCACTATTATCAACCTCCTCATTTTAATGCAGTCGCGCCTCTGCGGAATCTTGGTTTCTGTCGAAATATTCCCTCGATCACTTTTTTCCGCGTCTTGGCTTCTTTTCTCCTTGCTTTTCTGTTTACCTGTTCGTCTTGTTCTTTTTCATCTTTCGTCTTCTCTTGTCCATTACAGCACCTCTTGCGTCCTTGACGCCTCCCTGCATGTCTTCTCCAGCAGATTGTCATCGTCCTCAAGCCAGCGATACCACGCTTGTGTTTTTCGACTTGTGGTCTGGTCTCCTTGGCGAGTGACCTGCATTCCGGTCTGTCTCAGAACGCAGACGAACGAAATTGCATCGGCACACGTTTGACTTTCACATATAATTGCCGAACCCCCCTATTTTCGTCCTCTTACAACCCGTTGGTAAACACGCTTACAACGTGTTCCGTGCGTCGTTCTGCTGCTGTTTGACTTCGTTTCGTCGCATATCGTGGCATCATGGTCGAGATGCAAACACACGCGCCCGTGGCGCCACAAGCCAGCGCAAAACCCTCACTCCCACCGTTGTCAGAACCAGCACAAGCCATTTCATCCTCGTCGCAGGCCATGCCTATTCCTCAAGCGCCCGCGCAACGATCACAACCGCTTACCCTCGATACATACGTCTCGCCCGTCAACCAAAACGGTTCCTTTGAGTTCGACCGTGTCATCAAGACTGGCTACGTTCAGCGCCGCACACAAAAGACCAAGGTGCGTAGGAATGGGACGCCGGTGACGTCGTGTCGATTTTTGTTTCTCGAGAGCTTGTGAACTAACACTCTGTGCCCAGACATGGAGGAGCATCTTTCTTGTTCTCCGGCCGAATATCCTGTCCATTTACAAAACCGACAAGGAGGATAAACTCCGACACAAGATCTTTTTGTCCGAACTGACAGCCGTTTCCTTCCTCCGTGACCCAAAACACAAACGTGACCACCTGTTCGGCCTCTACTCGCCCTCCCGAAACTATTACTTCCAAGCCAGCTCTGCCAAAGACGCCCAAGAATGGGTCGAGGCAATTCGCAGCGAGGCACGCATTGAAGAGGAGGAGGAGGAGATGTTTCTGGCCAGCCCTCTTGTACGACGCCAGTCCTATGGCTTTACCAACCTCTTCCATGCCACCGGCAATGAGCTGAGTCCGTACAACCCGACGCACATGAACAACCACCCGGACGCTGTCGCTGAACATGAGCGTCGTATGGTGTCCAGCTCCCCCGAGCCCACAAATGCCTCCACCACGGCGCCTCTCAGCCCAGCAAATACAGCAGCAGCAGCAGCAGCAGCAGCAGCCACGGCCACAGCAGCACCCGTACAACCAGCCCGAGTCCCTGGCCTGGTCCGGTAACGAGATGGGCCTGTCCGACTACTCGGATGGTGACGTACAAAACAAGCTGCCTGGCATGTCGTCCGAGAGTCTCACAGCACAGTCGCCGCCGTCTGCCATGCAACCCATGCTCCCCATGCACCCCGTCAACGAACCCCGGCGGTCGCAGACCGAGATCCGCAATGCCAGCCAGTCAAGCGGCCTGGGCACGTTGGAGACGGACCCTGACCGTGTCATCTGGCAAGGCTGGCTGTGGCTTCTGCGCAGCAAGGGTGGCGTCCGTCAATGGAAGGACTCGTGGGCCGTGCTGCGGCCTCGGAATCTTATTCTGTACAAGGACGAGACGGAGTATGCTGCCCAGCTGATCCTCCCGCTGTCTTCGATTGTGAATGTGGTTGAGCGCGACCCGCTCAGCCGGACCAAGAAGCACTGCCTGGAGATCATCACGGAGGAGAAAAACTACCGGTTTTCGGCGCACGATGAGGACACGTTGGTGCGTTGTCTTGGTGCCTTCAAGAGCCTGCTAACCAAGCGGCGTGGACTGGAGATCCGTGCTGCAGCGGCGGCGGCGGCAGCTGTCTCTCCCTCGGGCCCGGTCGTCCTCCCTGCAAGCACCTTATCTTCCTCTCCCAGCGGTGCCGGGCCCTTTACTCCGATATCGCATATTCCGTCACTCACGACACCGGCGCCTGTGCCTATTTCAACATGACCACGAAACGACCTGCTTTGGATAATACCCGCATTTGCATCTCATTTTTTTGTGGCGCCCCGTATTCTTTTCAGCGCGTGACGTTTCTTGCACAAGGGCATCTACCCCCCTAGAAACCATTTTATGGTTTCATGACGACAATTTTTATGAAGGCATGACTTATTATTATTTTTATGAAACGAATTGGAGGGAGGACAGTCGTTACGTGACGTATAAAAGGACACGGCTGTGGAACGAAGAAAGCTCAGACATACAAAGCACAGGCTTATTTTATGTAATTCAGCTATTTGACGAATAGTAAACATGAATGATGCGCGCGAGGCTCTCTTGTCATGCCAATTATCGAAGCCCAACACAGAAAGGCGGTCACTCTCCTTACCGTGACCAGTCATTGCAACACTACCTTACATGTCGCTCAGCTTCTGTGTGCTCTTGTGAGACATGCCCTGCATCTGACAGCAAGGGCTGCCGGGATTGGACAAGAGTTGGGGCGTGCTTGGTACTGTGGCCTTTTCGTTTTCGCTGTGCTTTGTACAGCTCGAAAATAGTCGAGAAGAAGGCTTGCTGCGGCTTTGTGACGTATCGCCCGTCATACAATTTTCCACGAAGAGAAGGTAGGACTCGGTCCTCAATCTCGATTTCGTTTCTTGCGCCTTCCCCGGATACAGCAGATTGTATGTTTGGATTCTTGTTGTTCGCGCCTTCCGTAGGATTAGTCTGACCCATGACATACCATTATTTTGTCCCTATTTGGATCCCAACTTTTGTTTACCTCCGTTCCATCTTTTTTTTTCTGCCCTTTGCAACAGTGCACGTCGCCAAAATCAAAATAATACCCCAACTCCAGCCTCGATTTCTGTGCCGTGTCTAGGTTCATTTGCCTGACAAAATGCCCTTGCTTCCCCATCCTACCAGTGGCTGCGCAACGGAAATTGCTCCGCAAAACAGTCCCAAGCCCGGCGAATTGCTTAATTTGGACCGCAGCCATTCGAATGCTAGCAACTGGTTCCTTTTACCTGGGGTATTGACTTCGTCCAATCTTCGACCAGAAAACCTTGGCGTATTTCGTCGACTTTCTCGAAACCCAACAAACTGGACATCTTATTAATAACCGGAAAATTCGAGGACCAATTCGAGACCTTAGAGGAGACGCCCAAATATGCCGGCAGACGGCGAGCAAAATGTCTGAGAGACCAATACGCGGATTCCAAGACTGCCAATGAAAATCTCAAGTGGCTGTTTGGCTGACCATCGAGGTGACCCTACGATCCGATTCCCATCCCCCTCGTCCTTTGACGAGGGGCGGAGTGAAGAGGTCAAGATGATCAGCATGTGTCTTTCCTGGTTCCTTGCCCATGTGCGCAAATTTGGTCACCCGGCTTCCCCTCATTTTGTTGATGCTACTTTTTAGATCGAATCGGCCTTCCATTCTTGGTCAGTTGTCCGGTCCCTCTCGATGGCAGTCTCGTCTTGCATGTCTTTATGGAGTAGTATATGCACTCCCTTTTGCATAGCCAGCATGCCTCCCTTGTAATACTGCATCCATTCCGTTAAATATGAACTTCGGTTGTCTAACTAGTTCCGTCGTGTAAGTGCTGGCTTTTGGTACGGCCTCCGTCTTCTATTAACTCGTCTAAAAAGCGTATCGAGTTATTTCGTTTTTGTTCCTTTATTCCTATTCACCGTTTACGTTTCTAGGTGGCCGCCATGGTTTCGGCACTGCTGGCTTATCCTGTCGAAAAGGCGCCTTATGTGACGTCTTCCGCGCGCATAGGTGCCGCAAACTTTAAAAGATGCGCAAGTATAAGCAATATTGTGGCGCCGAGCGACTTCTTCTTTCGTGTCTCAGCCCCGGTTTCTTTTCCTCACTCAAGGATCTCCACTTGATCACGCACCTACTGAGAGGTAGTCTTGACAATGGATTCCGAAGACAGGTTGCCTGGCGTTTCCATATAGAGGTCGGCTTGACCCGTCCCTCCGTCGCCGAACGCTTTCCGTTACTTGTAGTTTGTTTATTTATACTTGGCCTGGATCCCTTTGTTCCAGTCATCAACATGACTATATCGCACCGTCAAGTTTTTGAGACCGGTCTACCATTCGTTTCTTGCAGTTTTTCAAACTCATTTTCCCTTCCAGGGCATAGGCGGCCAAAATGAAATTGTTTCGGGTTCTCATGACTGCTCTCAACCTTGCAGAACTATCTGCAGCCCAGGTCGCCATTCCACTGCACTCGTCGAGTCGGTGGATTCTCGACTCCAACAACAACCGTGTCAAGCTCCGCTGCATCAACTGGGCTGGCCATATGGAAGTTAACCTTCCAGAAGGCCTCCATAAGCAGCCGATCTCGTTTCTTGCGGACTGGATTCGCGACCAGGGCTTCAACTGCGTCCGCCTTACCTACTCCATCGACCATGCGCTGAACCCCAACACGTTGGTGTCGGATGCCTTTACAAATGCCGCTACAGCAGCCGGCGTGCCTCTGACAAACATGACGGCAATGTACAATGACGCCGTTGCGGTAAACCCGTTTATGGGGGAGGCCACAACGACAACACGAGACGTTTATGATGCCGTTATTGATGCCCTCTGGGAACGCGGCGTCATGACGCTCCTGGACAATCATGTCAGCAAGGCCAGCTGGTGCTGCGATTTGACTGATGGCAACGGCTGGTGGGACACTGCCTTTGGCTATATTGCAGCCAACTCTCAGTATTTCCATACGGCCGAGTGGCTCCAGGGGCTGCAAGCTATGGCATCGTGGGCCTACGCAAACCACCCGGGCGTCGTTGCCATGTCGCTGCGCAACGAGCTGCGCCAGCTGCTCTTCCAGGATACCAACAACGGCGACGACTGGTATGACCTGGTATCCGAGGCCGGTTCGCTCGTCCACCAGGCCAACCCCAATGTGCTCGTGGTCGTCGGCGGCATTTCGTCAGCAACAGACTTGTCGAGCGTCCGCATCAGCCGCATGCTCAACACGACCGGGTGGCTGGGCAAGCACGTCTGGGAATGGCACTCGTACTCATTTACGGTTACGTTCCCGCGCATCCTCCCATGCGCGCTCCTCAAAGACCTCTATGGCGGGTTTGCGGGGTTTGTGTTGACGCAGGGCAAGGATTATACGGGCCCGTTGCTGCTGTCCGAGTTTGGTGTGGGCCAGACTGGCGGGACCATTGACGGCGGCCTGTCGTCGGACGACAGCACCTACCTGTCGTGCCTGACTGAGTACATGGAGAGTAACGACAGTGATTGGGTGGTATGGGCATTGCAGGGTAGCTACTATGTGCGAGGCGGTCAGACAGACTACGACGAGACGTGGGGTCTGCTCAACCACGACTGGTCGGCGTTGCGCAATCCGCAGTTCCCCGGGCTTCTTGGAGGCATGTGGAACATGACGCAGGGACCATAGACGATGGGACGTTTGTGGAACTTGATGTATATGGCCTATTTGGACGATGGCTGTGTAACCATATATAATGTTTTCTATATCAATGTTTTAAATCGGTGTGTATATATGACTACCTGGCTAATGAAGTTACTGAACAAATACCATCGGGCAGTAGCCATTGCAAAACATTTCCCCCAAGACGCCTATCAGGTTTCTGGAACGCCGGTGAGCCTCAAAATATGTAAAGCATAAACAAAAAGATGTAAAAAGAGATGCAAAGAAAGCCCCCAACATAAGTTATAGAACACTACGCATTATGGAAATAAACCGATGCGTCACATGTAAACTCCCTCCCCGAACTTTTTCATCAGTGCACTCTAACTCTCTATCATCAAAAATCAAAAGCCGTTCTAGGCTGTATCAAAGTAGTCGTCAATATCAATCGAGTCGCCGCCACCCATGTACAGCTCATCAAAATTAGTCGTCGGATCCTCCACGAGACCTTCCATTCCATCATTGATGAAGCTGAAGAGGTCGTCGCCGTTGTCCACCGCACCAGTAGCATCTGCCCCTGCTGCTCCGGAATCTGGTATGAGAATGTCACTGGGGTTTTGCTGCGACGGTTGAGGTTGTTGTTGCTGCTGCTGCTGCTGTTGCTCCTGCTGTAGTTGAATCTTCTTCTGAAGTTGGAGTTGCTGCTGGGCGGGCGTTGCTGTCGAAAAGTCCGTGTCCATCATGAGGTTCTGGGCTGCGTCTGCAGCAAACTTTTCCACGTCAAATTCGGAGTCGTCGACTTGTTGATGCTGGGGCGGTTGGGGCACCTGGGAGGGTTGGGAGGGTTGGGGTGCAGTTGTAGGTATCTGGGGCACTGGTATAGCAGTTTGCGCCGGCGTTTGCTGTGCTGGTGCTTGCGGAGTTGGCTGCGGCTGCGAAGGCGGCGGTTGCGCCGGCTTTGCCTCGTCTCCTGGTCCAGCTGGAACAAGGGAGAACTGCATATTTGTAAACCCAAGATCAGCGTTGGACGGATCGTCACCAGAAGGCCCCGTAAGATCGAAAAAGTCGTCCATATTAATGTCATTTGATGAAGACTCCATTGTAGGCACGGGAGCAGCTGGGGCGGCAACTGGTGGTGGTGCAGTCGTCGCTGGAGTGGGCTTCACGGGCGGGGCGGTTATGGGTGTCGGAATCTGTGGCGCCGGTACGGGCGTCGTCGACTTTAAGGGAGGTGTCGACCTGGCAGCCGCAGCCGCAGCCGCAGCAGCTGATTTTTTGGTCAAGACAGGCGATGCAGCAGTAACAGACGGTGAGGACGACGACGACGAAAGCGAGATGGCCTTGTTGGCGCCGCCGGCCGTGACGCCAGCTGCCGGTGTTGGTGTTGGTGGTTGCGAAGTCGATGCCTTTGTGACAGCCGGCGATCCTGCCACCGACTTGACCAGAACAGGCGACGGCACCTTCGCCGCCGCAGGCGAGGCAGTCGATCGAGACGCAGCCGGCGATGGCACTCTCATAGCAGCGGGCGATACTGTCCGCTTCCTAGCCGGTGCCTTGCTTGCTGCTGTTACTGCTGTCGCGGACGCGGTGGAAGTGGCGGCAGGAGAAGCACCCGCTGTGCTGCCTGGTGTTGAGCCTGCTTTACCAGAAAAATGTGGAGGCCGGACAAGGGTTTCTTTCTTGACGGCGGGCGATTTGTTGGACAGTGGCTGCGGTGTCGGTGCTGTCGATTTATTCGAGGTGGACGTCTGCATAGACACGGCCCCTAATGGTACCGGGGATGCGGTGACTACAGGCGAGTCCAAGTCCATGTTCGGGAAGGGCGCCATGGCGGTGCTGGCAGGCGTGCCGCCGTTGGCAGTGGCATTGGCTGCATCCGTTGCCGGCTCGGACTTTATTTTGACGGCGGCCGGTGTTGGTTCCTCCAAGTCGACATCCATCGCAGCTGCTGGTGCTTGTTGAAGGGCGGGAGTTCCACTTGACGATGATTCCTTCTTCGTGTTGGCGGCAGCGGCGGCGGCGGCTGCAGCGCCCTTCTGTGCGCGGAGGAGGTCGAGATCGCGGCGCAGCGTGGCTTTTGCGCGGAGCTGGTACTAGGTTAGCAGCGCTCGCACGGAAGAGTCATGCAAGGGCATACCAGTCCGGATCGTTACGCACAATGTCTGTCTCTATGCTATCGAGAGTCGAATTGAACTGCGTGTTCGCATCGCTGATCTTCGTGGCGTTGAGCGCGCCCACTACCTTGCGCCCATTCTTAGCTTGCGCGCGGATGGCTTTGCCAGCGTGGATAAGCTGCAACCACGTAAAATCAACAAAAAGAGTCAGCCACGCGTCGCATAAAAGACGGAAGAAGAGAAAGGGACACATTGCCGCACCACTTCGCCAATCGTATGCTCCAGCATATCGAGCGCCCCCTGGCTACGCGGCCCTTGTTGGGCTGCCATTGCAGCGGGCAATGTCGGCTACTGCAGTCGACGGGGTATCTAGACACCGAGTCGAGGAAGCTGGCAAATCAATTGGGGATCGTGTTGTGCGGACGGGGCCGTCGTGCGTCGTCGGGGTTGGTACGAGGACGCCGCAATCGATAAACGGAGTCGTGATGCACAACGGATTTTGCGGCTGGTGCATTTGGCGTGCCAGCAGCTCCTTCCCCGTGCTGAGACCCAAGCGGCCCAGCAGTAGTGTGGGAGAGCAGTGTGTATACAGTATAAATACAGTGTGATAAGTCACGCACTGTATTAACAGTGAGCTCAGATCCACCGGTAGCTTCCGTCGCCTAAAATGCTCGCTAGAGCCAGAGGCTCTAACACTTAGGACACCGGATCTCCTATTATATCAACGAGGCCCACTCCACACCGTTCTCCAAGCCATTCAGCCTGCAATTTGCGTTTTACGATAAGACCTGAACTCCGGCAGCGGCACTCTCGTCTCGAGAAGTCCCGTTCTTGGCAATAAAGACGACCCCAGAGATGTTGATAAATGGGGGTCAAGCGGCAAGTACCTCAGGGTGGTAGCGAGGTGCACTCCATAAAATACTTACCCACAACAAGATGCAGTCAAGCTTAGTCGTGCCTTTCTACACAGTCGTCTCGCAATCGGAGCGTGCGTGGCCTGGGGCGGATGACGAAAGGTGTCCATGACGTGACCAGCGTGTTTATCTGCCGAGATCATCCAGCGCATCAGACCAGATGAACATGGCCGGCATAGTGTCTCGGGGGTCCTGGGCCATACCATACCCAATCCCCGGAGTTCTCTTTCTTTGTAAGATTTCATATGCCCTCTGTCCCCTTCCAGGGCTAGGAAGGCAAGGCCCGGCCGCCGACAATGCAAGTTGACAACTTTGGGCGCTAAAGGGACAGAAAACGGAGAGCGGCCGTTTGACCTAGTAGAGGATTGGACCCCTACGTTGGCAGTCAAGTCTAACTAGCTACGAGTGAGACACAAAGCAGTCACAGCCCAGTATCTAAGAAAGTGGGGGCATATGCAGGCCGCTCTGTGGGAAAAGAAGGGTAACAAAAGACCTCCCACGCCATATAGGACCAAAAAAACTCAAGAGGGGCGCAGGACATAAAGTAAAAAGAGGCGGCAACCATGGAACGAAGCACACGAGAGATTGACTAGACTAGACCGGGATTCGTTTGGCACGGCGCAAAACAGGCTTGTCCTCCAAACCTCTTCCTGTTGTCTGCCTGTCTGTGTTGCCTTGTTGCCTGACCTTTGACATGTCTGTTAACGTGAATTTTGAAGCAGATGCGCTTAGATGCATAGATGCATATCCACCGTCTGGGGAAGGCGCCCGCTTCGTTGCTCGAGTCGTCCTAGGTACAGCAACACTCCGTAATACCTCATGCAACCTTCCGCATGCCCTATATGTTGCATATTATTTGCGTCTTTACGGCGGATGCCCATTGCGCATACGTCAAAACCAAGTGTCGTCAGGGCCAGCTGTCTTCAACGGTCGCCACAGCAAGTCAGCTTCCAGCGCCGCTAGAAGCTCCACAGACATCCTGTCCCTACTAACTCCTCAGCTCCCCACCACTAGCACCAGCGCGAAGCACGCTAACTGCGTCCCGCCCGGCACCATTACAGGGGCTTTCCGTTTTTTTCTTTTGCTACGCTTTGCCCCTGACACCAACGCCTGCCAGCCAGCAAACCGTTAGACTAGGTAATCTTAGGACCCTTTGCTCCTGCTCTCTTTTTGCGCACACACGTAATAATTTATTAATTACTCCCCCGTACGGAGTAAGTACACTCTGGTAGGACCTCCCCTCGCCGTCCCTCCGCCCAGCATCATCCAAACCCAGTGCTTGCTGGCCTTTGCCCACCTCTTGTTGGGTCTTACACCTTTTATAAGGATTTCAGTCGAAAACCGCTGTCCCTTGCTCCTACCTTTCTTTTCTCTCGCTCCCCACCCTCTTTTCTCCTCTTGCATCTTCTTCGTTTCCCTCCTCCGCCTTTTCTTTCCTCCTCTCTAAGCAACGAAATCTACGTCTTTATTTTTGTTTTGTCCGGCCCTGCTGCTTCGGTTTCCTTTCCAGCGGACTCGCGCACCCCTTTTCATTTTGCTGTCCCCTCCTTGTTTCGTCTTTGCTGTTCCCTTTTTTTCTTCCTCTGACGAATTCGTACTTGTCTGTCGCCGCTTGTCTTGTCTGACCTTTCTCCTATCCCCTCTTCGCACCGCGTCCAGGTTTTTCTGTCCTGGTCCAGTCAGCTGCTGCTTGTCTTTACACATCGCCTGTCCCTTGCGTCTGTTGGCTTTGCAGTTGCCGTGTCCTCTCTCCCATCCATTGCATCACTCTCCTAGCTTTGTCGGCGTCGGCGTTCTTCTTCTCGCACTAGCTCCCTAGTGCCCGTGATACCTCGACTTCAAGCTTCCGGCTCCAAGATACAAGCTTTCCTTTGTTGCTCGTCCCTTCATCCAGACTGTTCGGTTCTCGTAAGTTTACACTTGATGGTGACATAGACTTCAACATTGTCCGAGCCTTGCGCGCCTCAGCGCTTATCGCATCCGACCTCTCTGTGTGCCCTACTCATCATTTCTCTCTTCTTTTGTTGGCTTGCATTCCCACGCGACCTCGAGTGCTTTTCTGGCTAACCAACGTCAGTTTGTTTCAGTTTCCTTGTCGATCTCAGAAGCTTCGTGTCTTATACCCCAGCTCCTCTTTTCAGCCTTGTCGCTTTTTCGAACGGATCTTTTCATCTTTGCTTCCTTTACGATTTACGTCGACTGTCGAGCTTTGTTCTCATCTACTATCTCACGAATTTTACGAACCCGTCCTTTCACGACTTGCATTTGTCAATTCATACCCGTTCACGATGGCCGACACCGCTCCCTCCCAGCAGAACAACGGCCAGAATGGCTCCAACCAAGGCCACATGGCCCCCGCGCCGCTCCACATTCCTCAGAACAACAACCCGATTCCGACTGCCATCACCTCGCCCATTGGCGGCGACAAAAGTGGCATGATGTCCCCCACCAGCGCCGGCGCGTTCACCCGCCGCTCGGCCCCTGAACCCAACAAGCGGGCGCTCTATGTCGGCGGTCTCGACCAGCGGGTGACTGAGGATGTCCTCCGCCAGATCTTCGAGACAACTGGCCATGTCCAGAACGTCAAGATCATTCCCGACAAGAACGTGAGGCAACCCAATCTTCTTCGTGGGGGACGGGAGGTATTCGTTTGCTAACAATAGCCAGGCCAAGGGCTTCAACTACGGCTTCATCGAGTACGACGACCCCGGCGCAGCTGAGCGCGCCATGCAGACCCTGAATGGCCGCAGAGTTCACCAGTCGGTACGTGCGACACGGCATATGGAAATGCGAAAAAAAAAAGAAAATGGAAACGAGTGTGTTGGTGTGCTCGTGCGGAACTGACCTCGGTTCGATATAGGAGATCCGTGTGAACTGGGCCTACCAGGCCAACTCGACGGGCAAGGAGGATACCTCGAGCCACTTCCACATTTTTGTCGGCGACCTGTCCAACGAAGTCAACGACGAGATCCTTACGCAGGCTTTCGCCCAGTTCGGCTCTGTTTCGGAGGCACGTGTTATGTGGGACATGAAGACGGGCCGGTCGCGTGGCTACGGCTTTGTTGCCTTCCGCGATCGCCCGGAGGCCGAGAAGGCTCTGAGCAGCATGGACGGCGAGTGGCTCGGCTCTCGCGCTATCCGCTGCAACTGGGCGAACCAGAAGGGCCAGCCGTCCATGGCCCAACAACAGGCCATGCAGCAGATGGGCATGACCCCCACTACGCCTTTCGGCCACCACCACTTCCCGACCCACGGTGTCAATAGCTATGACATGGTGGTGAACCAGACCCCGGCGTGGCAGACGACGTGCTATGTTGGCAACCTGACGCCTTACACGACCCAGAACGACCTGGTGCCACTGTTCCAGAACTTCGGCTATGTGGTGGAGTCCCGGTTCCAGTCCGACCGTGGTTTTGCTTTCATCAAGCTCGACACTCACGAGAACGCCGCCATGGCCATCTGCCAGCTGAGCGGCTACAATGTCAACGGCCGTCCCCTGAAGTGCAGCGTAAGTAGTACAGCTGGAAACTAAGACGTTGACAAAGTGATGGACGGCTAACACGTATCGAACAGTGGGGTAAGGACAAGACTCCCAACGCCCAGGGTGGATTTGATCCTTCGCAGGGCCAGCAGCAGCAGCAGGCGTACAGTCCCCAGAACGCCCAGGGCCCTGGTCCCTACCCCGGCACGCCGACGCAATACTTTCCCCAGTACGGCGGCATGAGACACAACGGTGGCGGCGGTCGCCAATAGAATTCGGCGAAGCGCTTGTAACGTCCGCAGTTGCGATGAAATCAAGCTTGCCCTCGGAACACCCGATGTGGAGGGCATGCCAGTGAGGACGATCGATCTCAGTTAACATTCCAGTGGCCAGGGCGCTCTTTAAGTACCCTCTTTACTCTCGGGAAGAGCTATATGTCGACGCCGATGCTGCTTATGAAGAGAAAAAGTCCACTTGTTGTCAGAGTTTGGCTTGACACCTTGCACTACTTTCTGCCCTCTTCATTCTGGACTGTCTTCTTCAGGAGTAGGGGTAAATTCGGCTGTATTGTTGCGCCCCCCTCTGCTTTCTCTCATGATGTCGTCTGCCTTCACATTATTTGTTTTTCGTTACATTGTCTTGCCAAGGCTTTTTTATCACCTGCTACTTCCGTGTCCTTTTCTTGTTCAATCACAAAAATGTTGTCGGATTCCCTTCTCGGCAGCCTTCCGCGGGCCTGCCCATGAAGCCACCGTGGATCTCTTCTTATGCTTCTCTTATCATTTCATGTTTTTTTTTGTTTTTTTCAACTTCTAGTCTTCTTTTCCACTGAGTTTTTGTCTCTGTCTCTGTCTTCCTTCCCACCGAGTTTCGCTATGAATTTTCAAAAATGATGTCTTCAATCGTTTGCTTAGGCATGTTGGACCCCATGATTAAAAGTATTAGGCCATGCTTTCTTCCTCCATTTCTCGCTCTTCTTCATTTTGTCCGCTCTAGTTACCACGTCTTCTGTCATACTGTCATGATGTTACGACCTCTTTATCGTCACCTTCACGATCCATTAATTAACCGGCCATCTGATTAATTCGTCTTCTTTGTGAGTTATTGCCGTTAACATGTTTTTGCCCTCGTCCGCCCATTCCTCTTGGATGATGGACAAAATGCCAAGTACCGGCATCTTTTTTCTGTATCATATCTCGAGCGTCCACCCTCTCTTTTGCTTCTCTTTGTGCGTACAACCGCTCTCCTTCTGTCTTTTCGCCTGATTCCTTCTCGTGTTGTTTAAATCCCGCCTCGTCCTATTCTGCCGTGTTAACGTTACCAGATGGGGACGTGGGATGTGTGAATTGACTGGAAAGGGTATTCGTGTGTGCTCGGAGATGGTCGAATATCTCGGTCGGGGTATTTGTGGTATGGAGGAAGGTTCGTAGTCCGCGGTTCTGAAGGTACGAAAACAGTGCACTCTGTCTCGACATAATGTGAGCAGTGGGTTTCGCCTCGCGAGGGAATGTCGCGACATCGCGTGACGGTTGGCTGGTTCATTTTGTATCTTGCAGTCTTTAGCGGGGCCTGTTTGTGCGAGGCTGAATGATCTGCAGTGGAGATGGGTCAGGTTCACTTACACGAGTTTGCTCCGCTCGTGGAAAGCCGGAATCCTGTTTGCTGCTGTTTGTTGTTACTTTATGACCAGTTTCATGCTTCGTTGCTCGATTGCAGTTTCTATCATTCGGAAAAGGGTTGTTTTTCATACAACTAATTTTCTTTCAGGTCTTTTCAAAGATTGCCTGATAAATGCCGTCTGTCAAAGAACTTCCTCGCTCCCCAAATGCTCGTCACTCATCATCAAAACATATCAACATCATTGGTCCTCTTTGCGTCGTGCCAAAAGTGTGTCATAAATCCCATCATCATAAATACACCAATCCCAATGTTTGTTTTCCGACTTTTTCTTTACAGCAGTCATCTATACAAACCCACGCTCATTCAACTCCCAACTCAATTCACAAGACAGGCGAAAGAAACAATTATTTGCTGGTGTCGACGACGTAGCGGCCGACAACCTTGCCTGCGTGCATGAGCTCGTAGACCTTGGACAGCTCGCTGAGGCCAACGGTCTTGTAGGGAGCCTTGATCAGGCCACGGGCGAAAAAGTCAATAGCCTCGGCGGTGTCCTGGCGGTTTCCGACGTAGCTGCCCTTGATGGTGACCATGCGGACGACGGTCTCGAAGACGGCGGCCTTGATGTAGGCATCGGCCGGCAAACCAATGCAGACAACGGTGCCATGGGGGCGGACGTACTGGGTAGCCTGCTGGAAGGGCTTCTCAGCAACAGCCAGGACGATGACCGCCTGCGGACCGTGGCCGTCGGGGGTGGCGGCCTTGACGTCGGCGACGACGTCCTTGCTCTTGGCGAAGTCGACAAAGGTATGGGCGCCCAGAGACAGGCTGTTGTCGCGCTTCTCGTCACCGCCGTCAATGGCAATGACGTGCAGGCCCATGGCCTTGGCGTACTGGATGGCCATGTTGCCGAGACCGCCACCGGCACCGACAACGGCGACATACTGGCCGGGGCGAGCGCCCGACTCCTTTAGGCCCTTGTAGACAGTGATACCGGCACATAGGACGGGAGCAACGGCCTCGAGGTCGACGTGCTTGGGGATGCGGGCAACGTGGTCGGCGTTGGCAACGGCGTACTGCTGAAACGAGCCGTCCACGGTGTAGCCGGAGAGTGTGGCCTTCTCGCAGAGGGGCTCGTCCATTTGGCGACAGAACGAGCACGACAGGCACGAGCCGTTGATCCACTTCACGCCGACGTGGTCGCCAATTTCGACATCCTTGACCATCTCGCCGCGGGCAACGACGACGCCGGCTCCCTCGTGACCACCGACCAAGGGCAGCTTGGTGGGCAGGGGCCAGTCGCCCAGCATGGCGTGCAGGTCGGTGTGGCACACGCCGGAGTACTTGATGTTGATCAGGACCTCATTGGGGCCGGGGTTGCCAACGGGGATTTTCTTGTAGACGGGGTCTGTCGACGTGGGTCAGTGAGCAGGCCTCTTTTTGAAACCGAATTGGAGCTCCCCGTGGGAGGACAAGGCGCGGATGAGGTGCACAAAAGAAGCTGGACTTACTCTTGCCGGTTTTCTCGACAACCTGCGCCCACTGCTCAGTCGGGATAGACATTGTGGTGGTTTGGGTGGCAGAAGAACGGTATTTTGAGGAGGAAGATGGTACGTGAAGCTGGCTTGGGTTTGGTAGCTGGTTGATTGTCGTGCAGAGGTGATGAGAGTGTTTGGGTCTGTATAACAAAGAAGCAGAACCTCCTTCAAGCGGTGGCGAGCTCGACTATATATACTTGGGAGCAAGAGCGCGTTTAAGACGCCTCTCCGTGTCTCCGTGCGAGCATGGGAAGCTACGACTACGGCCATCCACTACGCAGAATAGAGGAGCTTCAGAGGGGCGACAAACTGAATGAGCGACCATGACGGGCACCACTGTTCAAGGTCGTTTGCTAAACAGGGAGAGCCCGCAGGTATGGTTAGCGCAAGATGGAGGAGGAAGACGCAATGGAGAAACGGAGGTGAAAGTGGAGTGGAAAGAGTAAGCATCTCGTGATGAGGGCAAACCAGAAAAAAGGATAAATGAAAAAGGAAATAAAAAGAGTGTGCTCTCGCAGATGCAGCCTCCAATTGGGGAGAGGACGGTCGAACGGGCGGAAGAGCTCTAGGTTACGGGTGCGCACACTGACAACTGCGGAACATATGACGGCGATGGACGTCAAGCTCCAATCTGAGGCGTGTTTGTTGGCGCTAAGGCGAAGAGATCAGGAAGATGTTCGGGCTGACATTTCTCAGGTCCGCAGTCAAGCGCACGTCTAAGCATCAATGCAGCATGGCCTGTATCTGGTCGCAGGAAAGCACTTTGTTTTCAGGGAGGGAAACCAATGCCGCCAGTTCCTTTACTGCGATGGCCTTATCCATCGCTTTCTCCCTCTTGCCCGCCATGTGACGATATCACTCGATTTTTGCCGTTGTCGCATCGATAACATGAGCTCGAGTGCAGTATCGCCGCAGAGCCCCCGACAGCTCTGCCACACCATGAAGAAGCCGCGCCAGTCCATGTTCTCCAATTCGCGGTGCAAAATCGTCGACGGGGCGGGCTTTTCCCTACGCACTGCTCCGACTCTCACAGGACTCTGCCAGCAGACGTTGGCTCCAGAATGGAAGTACAACCGACTGACAGCGTGTCATCTCTCCTTCTCCTTTGTGTTGAATTCTGCCCGGCAGTGCCAAGCGCTTGGAGAGGCGTGACGGGCTACATTCCTCTATCCCTTGCTGAAAAAAAAAGCAAGAAAATGGCCAGGCCCGACTTGCAAAATTGTGACACTGCAATTACCGTTGATAGTACTGCCTCTCCTGCACAGCGCCACCCACGGTCTCGGCTAACCAACAGCTGATTCAGGGCGTGGTGTGTTTTTCTGATGCCTCTTCTTACTGCCATACCCGTTTCCGGGGCCAGACTTTGCACATGTGCCCTTTCATCAGCCCACAGCCTGTCTGATATGTCTTTTCGTGCATCACTCGTTCGAGATCACTGCGCGGGAGACGACCTTGTGTTGCTGCTGCATGTCTTCTCCAACATTGCGGTTCCGCTCACACGACTCCTCAAACGGGACCCCGCAACTAACAAAACAACGGTAGTCGCTTCTGATGATCATCGCCTCAAAAAAAAAATTGGAGATGCGTTGGCCCTTGCCTCTGGGACGAACCCACGAGGCCGCCACAAAGCCCTTCAGGCGGAGCGGGGAAGCTGCCAGGGACACAGCAGGCCAAGTGGAAAAAGAACTGACAATCACAAAGAAGATACGTGAAAAGATGTGGCAAGACGTTTTGGTGAGCGCTGTCTGTTCGCCAAAAGAGAAAAAGGAAAAACTGACATCTGGGGCTAGAGGAACTGGCCAATAATTAAACCTCACAATCTATCCAGAAAATGCACAGCTTTCCCACTACACCGGCGTCTGGCTTAGGGGCATGTAAAAGGAATAATGCATCGTACGGGAGAGCTAATGTACTCCGTAGTCCGCACGTTGTTCGGTGGTGATAACGATTAATCCATCGGGCTCCTTTCCCCGGACTACCTGCACCCTGGGTATATTGATATGTTTCCTCTGACAATCTGATATGCGCTTCACCATGCGAGGTACCTCGGTATGTTTTCCTCCGCGTTCTTTCCCCAATTGTTTCCTTGTCGTCGCCTCTTCCATCCTACCCGCAAATCTCTTGTTCCGCCCGACCTTGCGGATCCGTTCCATGCCAACGAAACATATAAACGCAGGAGGTAGCATACCGAAGCTACAAAATCAATTACGGGATGGGGCAAGGGAAGGAATAAAACAGGAAGCCGGGGATGAGGAGATTCGAGAAAAAGCGGAAACACATCTCGATGTATAAGTTTATTATCATTGATTTTTAAAGAAGTAGCTGGAGTGTGCACCAATACGGGGCAGACACACATCAATTATGCGGATACAAGATTCCGCAGAATAGTATGCCTAAATCTGAAAAAGAAAAACGGGCTTCTCTGTAAGCAACGGGAACTCGTTTCACAGCGACAATAGAGAAGTCTTGAGAACGAGGTTACTGCGCACCCTGGTCCTTTCCTCAGAGTGAAGTGGCGATGATTCTTTGTTGGAAAAGTGTGGTCCACAGGGGACGACCGACAAGCTGACTTACACCAGGATTTTAACGACACAAACTAAGCATGTTACAAGCAGTGCACTAGGCTACCATCAAAAGGTGGCCGCCACAAGCAACCGACAGCACACAGTCTCTATCGAACATGCAAAGAGTAGAAAGACGAGGGATAACTTGATCAAATGATATCAAATCGGTCTGCGGAGCTGAGCACTGGCACGGACAAGGAGCGCCTCCAGTCTTTTCCTCGTATCTTTTCTCCTATTTGCTGGTGCACTTGCAGTAATGTATCTTCAACCTTTTCTCATTGTAGCTGTCGTTGTTTGCTATTCTACACGTCGCCTGGGCCGTTCCCCAATCAAGACCCCTTCGTATCCGTTTCGATATTCCCGCGGCCACATTTCGGAGACCCTTGATCTCCTCTAAGGATCCTTTTCGCATCGACAAAAGCCTCCCCTCCGTCTACCATTTATGAGCCGCCGGGACCACCCAGAAGGGCAAACCTCCGGACAATGCTAGGTCCGTACTCCTCGTACTGTTGGTGAGGTTAGCTGAGACACGAGACGCAAGAAATAATCGACACGGCTGCACGAGATCAAGACCGATGTCGAGCCGAAGACGGAAAACGAAAGCCAGATGAAAGGCATATGCGACGGACAGCAAGGGGCCTCGCACGAAAATATGAGACAAACTTACTTCAGCCTTCGTGTGGCAGTACGACCGGAACTCGGGCGTCTGGCCGAGCAGACTGCCGCCGAACCAGGGGCCGTGCCGCTGCCGCTTGTGCGTAATGACCTGGACCTCAAGACCACCGCTCTTGGCGCCGTGGCTGCGCGCCTCACTCGCCCGGATGCGCGCGTCGACGAGCTGCTTGATGTCGCGCTGCAGCCGCCGACCAAAGTCCTTGTACAGCGTGCTGCCACCGGACAGCACAATGTTCTTGTACAGACCACGCCGCACGTCGATGGGCGACGACTGGATCACGCCATCCACCACCACGGGCAGGGGGGTGAGGAAATCGGAGCTGTAGATCTCTGGGTTGAAGAAAATCTCAGGCGCCAGGAAGCGCTCATACCCAACGTCCACCGACACCTTGCGGCCGCCTGCGAGGACAGCGGCATGCTTGGCGAAGCGCGACGCGTCCCGGTCGTAGCGCGCAAACTCCTTGACAATGTCCGGGCACACGTAGCAGTACTCCTCCTTGATCTCCTGGGCCGTCTTGAGAGACGAGTCTGGCTCGCCGCGGTCGCGCAGCAGGGACTGCACAAAGTATGTAATGTCGCGACCGGCAATCGGAATCGACTTGATCGAGGAGCCAATGACGTAGCCCTCGGCGACGGGGATGACGTGCGTGACACCGTCACCCGAATCAATGACGGTACCCGTAAGCGAACGGTCGGTCACCTTGGACGACGTCCACGAGGCTGCCAGCGCAAGCACGGCCTGCACAGCAATGTAGAGACCGGCACAGTTGAACGACTCGAAGAAAATCTCGGCCGTGTTTTCGCGGTTCTCGGGCGGGTTCAAGGGCTGCGGGAGGTCAGAAAATGGTACATCTACTGCGTGAAAAGAAACCCCATGGTGCGCATCGTCCATATATGGGACAGTCATATGTGTCATGGAGGCTGGAAGGTACATACCGGCTCGGTGAGAAGGAAGTAGTGGTCCTCAGGCTCGACGCGCAGGTACTTGAAAATGGAGTTGGACCAGAAGCGCTCCATGTGATCCTGTTCGATTTCGTCAGCCCACGTTCTCCCTTCAACCCCTCCACAGCGTGCAGCATCCGCTGCCCCCCATCCTTACCCAGTTTTCTATCTGACCGTGCCGGATAGGGTAGTGCAGGCCATAGCCAGGCCCGGACGACGCCGAAATCGCCTCATCGCCGATGAAGTAGTCCAGGTCCTCCGTCCCCCGCTTCGCCTGCAGGTGACCGCCAGGGCCGGCGCCGCCGGTCAGGAAGGACGGCTTGTTCGCGACTGACGGCCGGCCAGCACCGGTACCTGCGCTCCCTGCACCGGACTTCGTTGCAATGGCCGTCGGGAACACGAAAGAGGGAGAGTCGTTACCGGCAAAACCTGAGCGGAGACATCGTCGTTAGCAATTCATGGGCCGGAAAACCGCTGTTGATCGCTGCGTGAGGCAACTAGGCAACAGCTCGAGGAGCATCGCGATGCATAGTGGAACCTACCAAGCTTCGAGAAACCGGTGCCGCTGCAGATCAGAGAAGACGTGTTAGCAGCGCAAACAATGAAAGAAGACAGTCACCCATGGAATTGACAGATTCTCGGAGCCAATGCGATACAAGCCGGCCGCAAGCCGCTCAAGCCGTTGAGCTGAACAAGAGGACGACCGACCATGCCGGAGTAGCAGAGGGGGGCAAGAGAGGGATTGGCGCATACTTGTCCATGACAACGGCCGGCGTTTGGTTTGCCATTGTTGCGGGTTGAAAGACGAACAGAAGGGCCGCGGATCAGCAGCTCTCCTTGCGACAATGTGCGAGTTTGTCGGGAAAAGAGGTGGAGAGGAGAGGTGATGACGATGTGGGAAGTTGGGAGCGTCTGCGGCGACCCGTCGGGTGGTTGGCGGGGGTGAGGGGCGCCCTGCTCACTGGTGCCTCCTGCTTAAACGGGGCAGCTTACGCCTGCTAACATCGTGTCAAATGTCAAAGTACGCTAATATGGTCACGTGCGTGTCGCTGGAGACAGGCTTCAGTACTTTCTCGCCTTACATAATCTCACAACAGCGATCTCGACGTCAGCGACAACTTTCTCTAAAACACACTCGACTAGAACATACATTGGGACCTCAGGGACAGGCCGAGGAGGAATACTTGAAAGAGAGACAGAAATGGCCTAGATGTCCATGGAGACATACGTTGTTAAATGAGGCCATTGTGGCAGGGGAGATCTATACGTTCGTTCCTTCCTCTATTTCCGCCCGTAGAGATTGCTCCAGGAAACCACATTGCTGAGCTCTGTCTCAAATGCGACGAACGAAGCCCCATCATTCTCTGCCGTGACTTCCTTTCCTACCACGAACCTACACATAATCTACTGACCACTCTTTCTTGCCCGGCCATCGCGCCTTCTCTTTCCTCACTCGTTGCAGCGTTTGGGTAGACAAGGCAATCACGCGTCATCTGTGACAGGACTTCTGCATGACGGGAGACAAGGCGTGCGTCTCGGTCACCATCCTCCTACCAACGATACCTTGCACTCCTACTCCCCCTTCATCTTGTCCACTCCACGTCGTGCTTCGTCTCTTTCTGAGCTTAGTCTTTTCTCCCTGGCGGCCTTTCGTCGTTTCGTCTGTCCACGCTTCCTTGGCTATTCGTTCATCCCTAGATCACATTGGATTGAGGTCTATCTACACCGTTCCCTCAGTCTTGGCTCAACTTTGTTGTTGTTGCAACAGCTGTATTGGTCATTCTTACATTCTCTTTTCTTTTCCCCTAAGTCAACGCTACTCCTACGAGGTTCCTGTTTTGCTGGATACTTCCCCAACGACCCACTCGTCACTCTTCTCTGAGGACCTTCTCGCGGCCAGCCGTCTGTCAACAACGCCACACAAAATATCGCTCTACGTCACCTGCTAGGACTGCTACTCTGTTCCTCCTTGTCGACCGCTTGTGTAGATGCATCCGCAAGCAATTGCAACGGGACATGGCAAACTAGTGTCCCCCGTCGACAATCAACAACCCCAGACCGATCACCCAGCCGAACACCACAACGACATCATGACTCCTTCTTCTAGCCCATTTCCAAGCCTCAGTCCTTCTCCGGAAAGCAGTTGTGACAGAGACGAACTCTTGTCAGAGCCAGGTTTTGGCGTCGTTGGTGTAGCAGAGGACCGTGGTCACAATACTGTGACGGCAAATCCAAGATTCGATCTGGGGCTTGCCTCCTCGTCTACAGATGGACCGCTGCCATCCAACAAATTGCCGAGTCCGGACGCAGCCATCTTGGCTTCAGCAACAGACGGGCTCACGGAGCGATTGTTCCGTTCCAAGACAAAGGGCCCCATTGCGGCTATTTTTATCCATGCCGGCGCCGGCTTCCACAGCACCACCAACGAGCACGTGCATCTAGAAGCGTGCAGCGAGTACGTTCATCTCCCGATTTAATCCAGATATACATTTTTATCAACCCTGTCTCCCTCACACTGACTGTCGTTAGAGCTGCCCGCCTGGCCATGAAATTTCTCAAAGCCGGAGGCACCGCTGTTGACGCGGTCGAGGCAGCAATCAAGTGCCTAGAAGACAAGGAAATCACCAATGCCGGCTACGGAAGCAATCTCTCCATTGACGGTGTTGTGGAGGGTGATGCAACTATTGTCGACCATCTTGGCCGCAGTGGTGCCTGTGGATCCGCCCAAAGTATGGTGTCTAGGGCATGCCCTGTCGCAAGGCTCTCGTCATCTTGCTAACCCGGTTTCCTTCCCGTCTCTAGTGATCAAGAATCCAATCTCGCTGGCCCGTCTGATCTACGACCGAAGCAATATCCCCTTGTCGCTAAGGCGTATACCGCCAAATATCCTTGTCGGCCATGGTGCGGCTCTGTTTGCACAGGAGCACGGCATGCGTCTTATTCCGCACCAGCAGCTCATCTCCAAGGGCGCCCAGGACCGTTTCTATCGCTGGCGCCAAGATCTAATCAATGCCGAAGAGGCAGCCATCCGGCGCAGCCTGGCTTCTGGCGCTGCTCCAAAGTCCCGAGTCGATCCACAATCTGTTCCTGGCGGTCCCCCCGGTGCCTGTCCTGGCATGAAGTCAGTACAAAACGCACAACAAATCGCAATGTCGAGGCCGACCGTTACAACCTCGATTGCGAGCGGTAGCTCTCAGCCACCCGACGACGGCCGGCCAGCTGGGCACCTACCAGCCCATGGCAAATATACCCAAGCGTCGCTGGGAACCACGACTGTCAAGATAGAAACCTCGTCGTCCACTGCGGCTGGGAAGGTAGGAGCCTGGCCTGCTAGGAACCCGAAGTCCAGCCACAAACGATTTCGCCTGGGTGATTATGACCTATTCAGCAATGATGAGGCAGCCACCCGCAGAAAAAGACGAAGCAGTAGCGGCGGAGACGGAAGCTTTGCGGACGAGCCAGTACACAAGTTCCCTTCGATCTCGGGCGCTATGTCCCATCCACTTGACCATTTTGCTGAAGGAACCGCTGCGGACGAGTACGCGGCCGGCAACTCATCTCGATATGCCGAGATCGGACTCCACGACAACGACACGGACATCATCACTGACACTATCGGTGCTATTGCAATTGATCTCCGCGGCAACATCGCGGCTGGCTCGTCGTCGGGTGGCATCGGCATGAAACACTCGGGTCGCATCGGGCCCGCGGCCCTAGTAGGCATTGGCACGGCCGTAATTCCCGCAGATCCCAAGGACAGCCGAGGTACCTCCGTGGCAGCCGTCACCAGCGGGACGGGCGAGCACATGGCCACCACGATGGCATCACACACCTGTGCCCAACGCCTCTACCACGGCAACCGCCGGACCGACGGCGGGTCGTTTGATACTGAATACGACGATGATGCGATCATGAAGTCGTTTGTGACAGACGACTTTATGAACCACCCGGGCGTTCGCAACCAAATCTCTAGCGGTGCCATTGGTGTCATGGCGGCGAAGAAGACCAACAGAGGCGTCTATTTCTACTTCGCGCACAACACAGACTCGTTTGCCTTAGCTTCTTTGTCGTCAAACGAGGACGACCCGCTGGTGGTCATCTCTCGGCTGGGCCCACGGGAAAGCGTTGCTAGGGGCGGTCGCAAGATCAAGCGCAACTGAGAGTCCGTCTGCCTACGACGTGGAGAGAATGAGCTGTGTATACTTGGCATTATATTGGCCCTTTGCGTTCGTGCGACGAAAGGCGAGTATGTGATTTGGCACAGGCCGAAAGGCCAGTGGGCTTCCCGGGACAATTAGTTCGTTGACCCCCTTTCTGTTTTACTACGTTCTGCTGTTTTATGTCTTCTTTCTCTTCACCTAGACCCTAGATATCCTCAAGTAGCGTTGCGTTTTATTAGTTGGAATGAATAAGAATTATTGGTAACAGATGAAGACATTTTCAAACCCAAATCGCGACATTGTATAAAATGTGTATTTTTTTTAAAAAAAAAAAATAATAATAAAATAGAATAAAATAAAAAAAGAATAAAAACACAAAGCACAATCAGAACATAGTGAAGTAAAACTAAACTTAGCAAATCCATACAACTCTGGATGCAATTTTGTATGGCCAGCCCCCACGCAATGCATTATATTTTAAAACTGAAAAAACCCAAACGCCACATAGTATTTTCGTAGCCACCGGAGCCATCCGACCCATGGGAAGAATAAAAAGTAAACAGTAAGTCAGGCCATGTATACTAGGCGAAAAGCCCATCACGAGGTCATGGGTGTTCCGACTGTGCTGCCAGTCTCTTCGCGGCCACCGGCCGCGCCACCCAGCCGCTTCTTCTTCTTCTTCTTCGGACGCGGCACCACGGCCGGTTTTGCACCGTAGGCACCTAGTCGCAGCCGTGACCCACACGTTAGGCACTCGGTTGTCGGCGGACCGCCGGCTGTCTCGTCGCCGGCGGGTGCTTCGGGCACTTCGCAAAAGATGCTCAGGCAGATGCTGCACACGAACCCAGTGTCGACAACACGCCGGTGGCAGAAGCACGCGGCGCGGAAGTCGACCGCATCAGCACTCGGGGGGACGAGCGCGTTGGCCACGTCGCGCGCCGAGGCCGCGCTGAACCCCAGCATCAAGTACGCCAACAGGCCCTGCGTGTGGAGGCCGTGGCCGTCGGCGCTGTCGCCGGGCGCTGGCGGTGCCAGGAATGTGCCGCGAGTGATGAAGGCGGCCTGCTGTAGGAAGGTGGCTGCACCGCGCAGGGCCAAAACGTCGATGGCGACACCGGCGTGGGCGGCAGCAAAGACGGCGTTCATCGTCGGAATGTACTGCGCCGGGGACGAGTCCGACACAGAGATGACGAGGATGCGGGCATGCAGGCCAACATCGTCTGACGAGGCACTGCCGTCGCCCTTTGTCTTTCCGTCACTGCCGGGCGCACTTCCTGGCCCGCCTCCCACACCCTTGCCGGCACTGCCACTACTGCCGCCCTGCTGGCCAGACGGCCTTCCCTTGCCGTCTGCCGCCGCCGCCGCTGCCGGGATCAGGATGGCGGTTTTGTTGATGTGTGCGAGGGCGAGTGTCAGGGCACCCGACAGCAGGGTTGTAGTTTCTTCGAGGTCGCGCTCGGTGGTGCTGGTGACGAGGTCGTGGACGGATTTGAGGAGGGTGGTCTCGATCTCGCGGAACTGTGGGAACTTGTTGGCAGAGGAGGGCACGGTCTGTGGTATGTTGCTGCCGTTGCCGTTGCCGTTGCCGTTCCCGTTGCCATTAGAATGCGTGTTGCCATTGCTGTCGGAGTCGGTCATGGGCACATCGTCGCTGTCACCACCATTGGCAGCTGCCGCCGCAGCCCGTCGTGCTTTCGTGGTCGCCGTAGCTGCGGCCGCCGTTGCTGCCACTTCCTTGGGCGACGGATAGAGCCATATAGCCCTGTTGCTATGCGAGGCAATGACGGCGACTTGGTTGGTGCTCCCAAGGGCCAAATGCGAGTTGGCAAAGACGAGGATGTTGGCGATGGCTTTGCTGAGTGGCAGAGTATTGGCCAGCGCGGCCCAGGCGCGCGGGTTCGTGTCGAGGACGATGGTCAGAAGGGCCGGGGTCTCGGCCGACGCAGAGACCTCGTAGTGGGCAGACGCATCGACGGCGTCCATGGCGGGCGGCTGGCCACTCTGTGTGGCCTATTTGTCGAGGCTCAGAATATGTATTCTCATCATCTGGGGACACAACGAGTCGACGGCAGTCGCTTATGTGGCCCCTGGGGAGGAATATAACGTCAAAAAAGGTTTAGGAGTCCGACCAAGGGCCTCAAGCAGCTGCGATCGAGATACAGGTTGCTGCTGGGGGACGCATACGACGAGGCAAAAATGAACGTTGACTACTATGATGATACTAAGCGATGCGCTCAAGCACTAAAAATGCAGTGGATCCAAGGCTCCCAAGTGTTGACCACCTATCCCACGTGATTGCCCCACGCAGTTCGACTGCTTTGGGGTGTGAAGCTACTATGCAGCTTTGGCCCCTCCAACCTCCAATCCAGCTTCATTCTTGTATCTCGATAAGAGACGCCACCAATGCACAGCATCAACACGCCAGTCCTGGCGCGATAATGCGCCCCTGCTAACCGTTTGGCGTATGGGACATTGGAGGGGCGCTAGAGAAAGCTCTATCAGTCGTGGGCCCACACAAGCAGCGTCATTGGTGATATGACTGTATCGCCTCATTCTCGACAGGCTTTTCTTTCATTTTCTGTTGTCAATTTCTCAATAGTTCTCATTGTCATCTTCTCCTTCATTTCGTCAGTCATCCTTAGTCTTCGTTTTGCTTTGATCTCGGTGCCAATCACATCGCCATTTTCGTTCGCATTGGGAACTTCACTTTGTTGCTGGAGAGGGTTTACAAATCGGCCAAGGCCATCGCATTCTCCCCTGACGGAGACAAGCTCCAGCATCCACCAACCACAATGGCTGCCGCTCCCAGCACGGATGCGGCTGCTGCCACGGGCAGGGCTTCGTCGCCGACCCAGACGTCCGAGCTGTCCCGCGAGGACCAGACACTGCTCCTGTTTGCTGGCCTCATGGAGGGCGGCAAGGAGGACGACGAGACCGTCCGCGACCTCGACCGCCTGACCAAGGTGCTCAATGACGATGTAGAGGCCACCAAGAATGGCGAGGCATCCATTTGCAAGCTCATTGACTCTGACTGCGCCGACACGCTGCTCAGCTACCTCGACATGCGCCAGCCTGATGTTGTGCGCGGTCACGCCACGCTGACCACGTCGTCCTATCTTAAAGCGGCTGGCGACGACGGTGCTCAGAAGCTGACCGAGTTCTTTTACGACCGGGTCAAGCGCGGCACCTATGACGACTACATTGTGGCCTTTTGCGTCGCCGCCGCCGTGTTCCCCATCGTGCCGGACCTGACGGCCCAGATGTTTTTGGGCGAGGGCTTTTTGCCCAGCCTGGGCCCACTGATGCGCCGCAAGTGGAAGAGCCGCAAGGTCGAGACAGCCTGCCTCGACATGCTCAATGTGGCGTGTATGAACGCCGCGTGCCGCGAAGCGGTGCAAAAGTACTGCGTCGAATGGCTCGAGGAGATTGTCGACCAGGACCCCGACGATGTGGTTAAGGACATGTTCGCGGCCAATCCCGACGGCAGTCTGGGCGAGGGCTCGATTTCCATGCGCCGCCACTCGCGCCAGGTGCAGAATCTGGCGGCTGTGATTCTCGCGAAGCTCAAGGTATCATATCGTTTTTCCTTTTATGAAGAGTCTCATACGTTACCGCATGCTCCTTGGCTGCAAATCTAACTAACTCCAGACCTAAGGCAACGTTACCACCACAACCACCCGCCAGAGTCGAGGAACTGAAGGACGACGGCCGTATCGAGACGGCAACAACAAGTATCGAGGACTTGAGCAAGATGTTTACTGGCCTGCTGGCGAGCAATCCCGACCAGGACAGCTCCCATGCCGTTGAAGGCTTGGCGTACGCGTCCTTGCAGCCCAAAGTCAAGCAAGCGCTGGCAGATGACAGCGCGTTCCTCTCCAACCTCGTCAAGACACTAAAAACCGCAACACCGCGGTCGCCAATGACGTACGGTGCGTTGAGCATCTTCTCCAACCTGACGCGGTACCAGCCACCACAATCTGAAGAGCAGAGGCGGCTGGGTCAGCTCAAGGCGTACGCCAATGCGGCCGGTAAATCGGGCGCCAAACCCGATCCACTCAACGACGACGAGCATGTGTCGAAGCGGTGTCAAAAGGTCTTTGCCGCGGGCGTGACGCCGATTCTGGTCTCGCATAGCAAGAATGGGTCGGCAGCCTCATTATCTTTGATTGTCGGCATCATCCACGCGCTGTCCATGACGCAGAGCCTGCGTGGCCAGCTGGCACAACAGGGTGCCGTGCGACTGCTCATTGACGCATGGAATGCCCTGGGCGCCGTGGATGGTGCGAGCAGCAGCGCCGACATGTCTCTGGCGCGACGGACGGCCGCCCAGGCGCTGGCGCGCATTCTCATCTCGACCAACCCGGCACACGTCTTTGGCGGCACGCGCCCCGTGCCCATCCATGCCGCCATCCGCCCACTGGCATATCTCCTCAAAAAGGACGACGACTCGTACGACCTGTTGCCTGCTTTTGAATCACTCATGGCGCTGACCAACCTCGCATCCACGGACGACGACACTCGCGGAGGGATCTTGCGCGCCGCCTGGCCTGACGTCGAGGAGCAGATCCTGTCCAACAACGAGCGCATCACGCGTGCTGCCGTTGAGCTCGTCTGCAACCTGGTGCAGGCGCCCGAGGGCATTCTCATGTACGCTGATGGCAGTCCTGCGGCCAGGAACCGGCTCAACATTTTGGTGGCCCTGGCCGATGCCGAGGACGCTGGCACGCGAAATGCCGCCGGTGGCGCGCTTGCGTCCCTGCTGGCATACGAGGCCGTTGTCGAGGGTGTCCTGGCGCGAGACCGTGGCGTCGCGATCATCCTGGGACTGTGCAATGCGTCCGAAAGCGAGGACCTGCGGCACCGTGGCGCTGTGGCCATTTACAGCATGGTTATGTGTGACGGCGAGACGGGGGAACGGGCGAGGGCAGCAGTCAAGGCGGCCAACGGCGTGTCCATCTTGACCGAGTGCGCCAAGGCCAGCCGTCGCGCCGAAGTGGTCGAGGTGACAGTGTTTGCATTGAAGGAGCTGGTAAAGGAGGAATAGCGACTGAAATGGATGCTGTATTCACCGACAACTTGCGAGCACATAGGACATGGTCAATGATTTAGGGTCATGTTAGGTCTGACGTCGCTGTATATGCAAAGATGGTCCTTCTCGATTTTTCTACACATTGTTTATCTACACCAGATCAACACGGTTGAGAACCGCAATGCCCTCAACGTGTGCCGTCTGCGGGAAGAAATCGAAACCGCGCAGGCTCTCAATCTCGTAACGCGCCGGGGCCTTGCCGTCCCTGGTCTCGACTGGGGCCTTGTCGTTGGCGCTGTCGCCAAAGTCCACGTGGCCCTGCACCAGCATGCCCACATCGCGCGCCTGCGTGTGCACGTTGCAGCTGACATACACGATGCGTGCCGGCGCAAAGGCCAGCAGCTGCCGCAAAAACGGTCCGTCGCAGCCCTTGCGCGGGGGGTCCAGCACCACGACCGTCTCGTCCGGGTCGTACTCGATGACGCTCTGGAACAGCTGCGCCGCGTCGGCCGCCAAGAACTTGCAGCGCTCGGGCGGCAGGTGGTTGAGTTGCGCGTTGGTGCGCGCGTACGAAATAGACTGTTCGGCAATGTCGATGCCGATGGAGCCACCGGGTAGCGTCGACGCCAGCGTGATGGTGAAGAGGCCTGAGCCGGAGTATGCGTCGATGAGGTAGCGCAGCTCCTTGCCCTTGTGCGCATTCTTGGGACGCACCACGTTCTCGCGCACGTAGGCGGTCAGTGGCGGCAGGATCGAGTTGTTGTTCTGGAAGAAGCTGCCGGCCGGGTTCGTAAAGATGTAGTCGTCAATGTACTCGGTGGACGTGGCGTTGTTGTCGGTGATGCACGTCTTGAAGTCCGTGTGCGCCTCGGTCTCGACGGTCACGGTGTCGGCATCGTCTGCCACCTTTTTCTGCTCCTCGCTCATCTCGCTGCCCTTGGGACACCGCACGGTGTTTTCGCGCAGCAGGATCGTGGCGCCTTTGGAGTAGTCGGCAAAGTCGCGGGCCACCCGAGCGCGCTCCCGCGCCATGCCCTTGCCCACGGCCGGCGTGCCAATGGGGCAGCTCTCAATGTCCAGCGTCGCGCGCGCACCACCTGCACCCGCCTTCGCCATAAATCCAATCTCGGGGACCGCTGTCAGTCGGTGTGCGGCTTTGTTCTTCCGCCGGAATCCCGGCGGGCCGTCAAAGTGCGGCGTCAGTTTTGTGCGGTAGCCGTACTGGAGCGGGCTCGGCATGGTGTCGAGAACAGCAGGAACACGCTCGGGCGGCAGCTGGGAAAAGTGGCGGTAGGCACGCTCGACCACGCGGCGCTTGATGTGCAATTGCTCGCCGTAGTCGAGCATCTGGTACTGGCAGCCCGAGCAGCGGCCAAAGTATTGACAGCGCACCCGGTTGCTGTCGCCTTGTGGATCGCGCAGCTCGAGCGACGGCCTGACCACCTCTAGGAAATCGGCCACCGAGTATGTCGGTGGCAGCTCGTCCTCATCCGATCCGGCCTTGGGCTGTGGCAGGTGGCGGTACACCTTGGCACGTACAATGTCGCCCGGCACCGAAAAGGACACGACATAGATGCGCCTCCGCCGCCGCAGCAGAGACCCGTCGCTGAGCTCGTGCAGTTTGCGCTGAACGGCCAGACCCTCACCCGTCGACGACAGGCCGACAACGTCGAGCTCGATCTCCGAGCCGGGCTCGGGCAGCTCCTCTTCGGGAACCTCACCGCCGTCCTCTTCCGTGATTTTGATCTCGTCCGTGGTTTCAGCGGCTGTGGCCTTGACCTCTTCGCCGTGCGCTCCGTGGAAGAGAACTGGCTCGGCGTCCCTCTTCTCGCGGTCCTGCCGGTGTTTCAATGCCCTCTGCAAGTCCCGCACGTCCGCCAAAAGCACCTCCTCAGACGAGCCGTCTGTTACGGCTTTCAGCCGCTTGCCGCCCTTGAGCTTCTTCTTGGGTGGCCGCTGCTGTTGCTGCTTCCTGCTTTTGTTGGCACCGCCAGCACCTCCATTGGCATTATTTCCACTGTTATCACCATTGCCACCGTTTTGCTCCGGGAGCTCACGTCCTGCCTGGACTGGGCTGCTGTCAGGGTGCGGCCGTTTTGCAGCGGTTGACTTTGCAGGGGCAGCCACATGTGGCTGCGAAGTGGACGGTACCTGGATGCTCGCAGGTTCCGCCATTGTTGCAAAAGATAGAGACGTCCGGAGTGCAGGATATGCTAGATATGCAGACGAGAATGTCGTGATCGGAGTTGAATGTTGCGTCAAATGAGACAATGGTTGTAAATTCAAGCTGCGGTGCAGCGACAGCGTTCGTATAGACAAGACCAGCCGTTTGCTGAAGGTGGACAACATGAAGACTTTTGTGGAAAGAAAAGACCAAGGTAGCCCAAAATTTGCGAGTATTTTCACCTGTTTTGGAGCTTGACGTTGAAACCAGCGACATCAGTCTCAATTTTCATAGAAGCTCAAAAACGTGTAGATGACTAAGCCGTGAAGATCTCTTTCCTTTGACGACAACACAGCGCTGATTGGCCCTAATGGCAAGGCGAAACCCCCTGTAGCCTGGTTCCTACAGCGCCTGTATTACACGGCACAGGTTGCTGCGTTCAAGCCGTTTACAGTAAGTTGTACGTAAGCGGCGAGACCGGGCCTGGCCGTTTTCCAGTGCTGCTCCAGCGATCCGCTATCTGCAAGAGACCGACAGCCGCTAATATCCACCGCCGAAAGGCGCGGTTCTCGCCCCAACTTGCGGCACTCCGCAACTGCCGTTTTGGGAATGCGACAGTTGTAGCAAGAAAGTGCGCATGTGCTCTTTCCTGCCTGCCGCTCTTATCGGTGCCCATCATGTTCGTTCCAGTGTGCCTGTCCCGCACCTTCTAAATGCTGGCAGAACAAGCGCCGTCTTTACCGTGATGATGCCCCCGTTTTCGGCCTCCCTGACTTCTTAGAATTTTACATTTTTGTCTGGTCGTGGCATTGTTCACCTCTGGTATCTGCTTTCAATCCCGAGTCCTTTGTGATTTTCTTTTGGGCGCAGGTGTCGGTTTGGTTCCTTTGGGCGCGCTTGATGACTTATTCGATCCGCCAAAGGGTGACAGTTCCGTTACACCTCGGAAATGCGTAAGTACGATCTGCTCACCGTCACATTTTCAAGGTTTTATGCATCATTGCTAACGGTCTTCTGTGCCGTCAAGATTGCCGCACGGTGCTCTCGGGATGGGCTCTGCTGTTGCTGGCCTCGAAAGTGCAGCTGACGGCAGCACTTCCGCCGTTGCAACAGCCACTGCATGGCAGCCACTCCGATCACGATAGTGCTTCGTCCCAGTATGGAACGCACGGCGCTGTCGCCTGTGAGAGCGCCATCTGCTCCAAGATCGGTGTTGACCTGATGCGCAAGGGAGTATGTCAGCACTGATGCGTTATACTAATCTCTGCTTCATGAACGGAGGATATTCACTGACACCGGCAGGGTACCGCTGCAGACGCCTTGGTTGGTGCAACGCTCTGCGTGGGCGTCATCGGCATGTACCACTCGGGCATCGGGGGCGGCGGCTTCTTGCTAGTACGCGGATCCGACGGCAGCTACGAGGGTGTTGACTACCGAGAAACGGCGCCAGCAGCAGCGTTTGAGAACATGTACGACGGCAATGTTCTCGGTAGTGTATTTGGTGGCCTTGCTGTCGCCGTTCCCAGTGAACTACGTGGGTTGGAATACCTGCACAACAACTATGGGGTATGTTTATGTAGTCTTTTTAAGTGTACATCGTAGGTTTGATCATAACTAACCGATCGCAGGTTCTACCATGGGAGACGGTGGTCATGCCGGCTGTGGAGGTGGCCAGAAACGGATTTCCAGGTAGGATACCCAGTCGAAACTCTCCCTTGTTTGATATGTTAGCTCTAGCTAATTTTGACAGTATCGCACGACCTTGTCCGCTACATGAAGTCGGCCACAGAGACGGGGGGGCCTTTTCTCACTGATGACCCGATCTGGTCAGAGGATTTTGCGCCCAACGGAACGCTCCTGCAGCTGGGCGATACCATCACGCGCAAGCGTTACGCCAACACGCTCGAGACTCTCGCCAAGGAGGGAATCGAGACCTTTTATACAGGTGCCATGGGTGAGTTGTGAAGGACAATGGCCTACAGGTTTACAGGCGCTAACAGAAACCATAGCCAAGGACATGGTCAAGCTGATCCGAGAAAACAACGGATCCTTGACGCTGGACGATTTCAAGAACTATGAGATCATCAGCAAACCTGCCGTGAGCACATTGTTCCGCGGCCGTCGTCTATTCTCGACGAGCGCCCCCTCCTCAGGTGCTGTCGCACTGTCCATCCTGAAGACGATGGAGCAATTCCCGGCGTCTGGTCCCCCGGGAAGCAGTGACAGCGAGCGGAACAACGTCAACTTGAGCACGCATCGCTTTGACGAGGCCATGCGTTTTGCCTATGGCGCGCGCTCGCATTTGGGTGACCCAGCTTACGTCGACGGCGTCGCTGCCCGCGAGGCCGACCTACTCTCGGACCAGCATGCCAAAACTCTGCGACAAAAGATCCGTGACGACACGACACTACCCGTCAAGGACTACAATCCTGCGGGTAGCTATGCCCAACCCGGCCACGGCACAAGTCATGTTGTTGCGACTGACCGGTCGGGCATGGCCGTCAGCAGCACAACGACCATCAATACGCTCTTTGGCTCGCTGCTCATGACGCCCGACAGCGGCATTATCCTCAACAACCAGATGAACGACTTTTCGATTCCCCACTCTGACAATGAGTTTGGCTACCCGCCGAGCCCGGCCAACTTTATTCGTGGAGGCAAGCGTCCGCTGAGCTCAATCACGCCCATCATCGCCGAGGATGTGGATGTGGACGCCGCCGGCGTCGCGACAGGCAAACCGGGGCGTCCGTACCTGGTGACGGGAGCGGCTGGCGGCAGCCGTATTATCTCTGCCACCGCGCAGGTGGCATGGCGTGTTCTTGAACAGGGGTTCACGATGCACGAGGCGTTGGCCGAACCGCGTCTGCACGACCAGCTGGTGCCTAACCTGGTGGCGTTTGAGGCCCTGTTCGACAAGAGCACGATTGCGAGCATGGTGGAGCGTGGGCACAACGTGACGAGCATGAGCAACTATGTGAGCTCCGCGCAGGGGATTCGTGTGCTGCCGGACGGCGTGTTTGAAGCGGCGGGCGAGCCACGGCAGCTGAACAGCGGCGGCCACATTTTCTAAGATCCAAGGATAGGAACCGAGGGCCGCTGTATGCACAGCAATGAGTGGGGTGCGGCGTGCGACCTTGTGTATACGGTATGTGTTCTTTAACTCTCGTCAAGCCATACATTGCATAGCCAGCATCTCTGAATTATTTTCATATTTTGTTCACCCGCTTAGACCACATATGCTCTATGAAACAAATAACTGCGTGATGAAATAAGGAATGGGTATCCGTCAATAAGTAGTGTAAAAACGAGATATAAAGTGTGGCAAAGACCAAGGCTCTTTGTAAAAAGAAACGGTCTCATAGATAGAAAAGTGAGATGCGCCGCACTATGTAAGAAGGGTAAATCCACGCGACGCCTAGTTGAGCAGGGCCACCAGCTTGTCCATCTGCTCAAGCCATTTCCGCTCAAACTCCTCCTCGGTAAAGCGCTTGGCCGACTGCCGCGCCCGTTCACGCCAGGCCAGTGGGTCGGGCAGGGCAAGGGCCTGTTCAAATCCAGCGGCGAACTCGTCGGCCGTGGTAGCGTGGAAGCCCGTGGGTAGCCCGCCAATGTCGGTTACAATGTCCAACTTGGGGCCGCCGCTGTTATGGACGACGGATATCAGGCCCGCTGCCTGGTACTCAACAACACCGATGCCGAAATGTTCATTCCACATGCAGTTGACACCGACGGACGCGCGGCGCAGCCACTCGAGGATCGCAGGCCAGGGTGCATCCAGGTGGAACTCGACATCGTCACGGATATTGAGCTCGTTGGTCAACAGGCGCAACTGATAGACGCGCTTGGAATCGGCGTCGTCGCGGACGCTGCCGACGAGGACGAGCTTGGGGGTGTCTGCGGGTGTGGCGCCAGATTTCGTTGTTCGGTTCTGCTGCTGCCGCCGCTGCTTCTTCAAAAAGGCAGCAAAGGCCTGCAGGATCAGGTGGTGGTTCTTCTCCGGGCGGAACTGCGCAATATACAACAGAACCTTTTCGCGGGTCGCTTCACTCGCGGCGGACACATCGACCTCGTGCTCGAGCTCGCTGACGGCGACTGGTGGGTAGACGACGGCAATATCGGAGCCGTCGGTCGTTTGGGAGGACGAGGATTTGCCCTTCTTGGCACGCAGGGGGCCCCAGATGGCCTGAACGTGCCCCTGTGTCCAGCTCGAGTTGGTCATGACGACATCAATGGACGAGCCCACCGATGCATACAGCCACGCAAACGCCTTCCAGTAAGCGCGCTTGACACGGCCTCGCATACCCACGCCCTGGCCAGCATTGACACCCTGGCTGCCCACGGCCGACTGCGGGTCCAGCGAGACCAGCATATCGGTCGAGATGGTGGGGTAGTGAACGTAGGCACCGGTCGGGATGGTACGGAAGAGCAGCTTGGTGAAACCAAGCGCAAAGGCATAACCCATAGTGTCGACAAAGATGTCGGGAACGAGCAGTGACAGAGCATCCCAGGCCATAATGATGGAGCCAAAAGACTGACCAGCCAGCGTAAAATGTGGCCAGGTCGATGCAAGAACCCAGCGGCGCGTGGAGAGGTAGAGGAACGCGACAGTCGGCGGGTGGAGGTGGATGTTGAAGCGGTCCTTCGAAGAGGCTACGGTTAACAAGGCTACCGCGAAGAGAGAGTAGAACTACAGTCACTCACCCGCACTCGCGCCAAGATGGCATCTTTGTGCACGTCATGGTCGCCGGTATAGACGACACACTTGGCCTTCGGCCAGCGTTGTTGTGTGGCGCGAATGGCAGCCCATAACACGCGTTCGCCGCCGCCACCGGCGTTACTATTCGGTCAGTATTTGGGGCGTTTTGAGCATACGGCATCTTTTGAGCCTTTTGCGTTCCATAGAGGACAAGACCCACCAGAATGGGTGGAAGAAGCCGACGATGCCGTCCCAGTCGGACGCGCCCTTCTCTCCGTTACCAGCTGACGCGGCCTTTTCCGCCTCAACGTTCTCCCAGTCATCGTCACTGCTGTCGTTTTTCTTGGTCGTCTGCTGCCGCTGCTGCTGCTGCGTTTTCGCCTCTTGGAACCGCTTCTCATCGGCGGCCATCGTCTCCAACAAAAACCGCCGCTGGCTCTCGGTGCGCTTCCGCAGGTACCAGCCCAGCGTCGAGCCGGCGAGGCGCCAGATAAAAGGCAGCAAAGCGCCCGTCAACACAACCGCCGTGATGAAGGCAGCCACAGCATACGTGCTGCCGCCGCTACCGTGTCCGTTGCTGGCATTGCAGCGCGATTGCGCAGAACAGCTTCCACCATCCATCAGGGGCAAGACGTCGGGTCGATGTGAATATCGTAGAGGCAGTTGGCGGAAAGGATAAAGGGGTGCAGAGTCGCCGTCGTCAAATCGGAGGCCCTCAGAGGCGTCGTGAAAGCGCAGCGGGAACCATGCTCTGGCCTCTGAGTTTGTGGGATGTTGGTGAACGGGATGTATCAGAGGGGGCGAACGAGGTCGATCGAAAGAGGATGAGGATGCTGTTGCTCCTTTCCAGGTTGAACAAGAGGCGAGGAAGAAACGCAGGAAGCTATTGGTGGCGTCGAAACAGCGATGCAAAACATCCCAAATAGCGAGCTGTCCCTTTCTAGGACCCACGCCACACCCAAAGTAATTACTCCGTACTCCCGCCCGCCCGCGTAAATTTAATACCGTCAGTGCATCCACCGTGCTACAGCCGTAATTCGAGCCTTAAACGCGCGACAGCCAAGCCTTCTAGCATGTGTCTACAGGGGGGAGGTGTGGCGCCTGTGCCGCCCTAGCCCGACTGCTAGGTGGCCCTGTGGCCCTCTTCCCGAAACGGCAAGCCCGCTTGAAGGCCTCTAGCGAATGAGAGTCGCAGAAAGTGCAGAGCTTCATGTCGTCTCTATGGGCCAGGCTCGGTTCTCACAGCCTTCTAGGACTGCAGTCGAGCGAACAGTCCACAACAAGAGAGCAGACCGGACTGCACACCGCTGTCTGACAATGAACATGGTGCAGCCTTCTGCGCGCAGCTTGTGTGCCCTCCGGGCTGCCGCAGCGACATTACCGTCCCCGGCGCCCGTCACGGGCCAACAACCATCACAGACTCTACATCGGTCATTCTCATCGAGACCACAGCCACCAACGCCGACACCACGCAGCCTCTCGGGCCAGCGGACACGGCCAAGACAGTCGTTGTTGTCCGGCGAGCCATTGTGCCGCCACCGCCAGCTGCAGCTCCAGACAGCGAGCGCACGCCGGTCGTTTCACTTTGCGTCAATCGCGAATGCCACCGTCGACGCCGCCGAGGCTGCCATTGCTCAGCTGCACGCCGTCTCCCACACGCCGTGGTACGTCACCATCCCGCTCGTCGCGCTGGGTGTCAACCTCGTGTTCCGCCTGCCCTTCTCACTGCACGCCCGCAATCTTGTGATCAGGCGCGAACTCCTTACGCCGCTGCTTCAAGCCTGGACCACTCTGCACGGCAAAGAGATTATCAACGAGCAGAAGTTGCGGTCACGACAGGGTCTGCCAACGCCGAAAACTCAGGTGGAGGTTTTGAAGCGGTACAGAAAAACCGCCAGCCGTGTATTCGGGGCCTTTGGCGTGCAGCAGTGGAAATTGTATAGCAACATCCTCTCGCTGCCGCCATGGCTTGTCGTGATAGAGGCCATCCGGCGAATGTGCGGTGCACCAACGGGTCTGCTGGGCCTGCTGTTCCGTAGCGGTGGGACTGGTGCTGCTGGTGCTGCAGAGACAAGCGCCTCCGCAACTGCTGCTGCTGCTGCGGCCGCCTCGGCGTCGGCAGAAAACGTGGACGTTGCGTCCATTGCAAGTGCAGCGTCACCGTCGACGGCCACCGACAGCGTCTCGTCGCTAGTGGACCCTACTTTTGCTACGGGCGGCTGTTTGTGGTTCCCTGATCTCACCGTGGCCGATCCTTACTATGTTCTTCCGTTTGCGCTGTCGGCTGCACTGGTTGTCAACATCCTTCCGAAGACGGACGCCGCTCGCCGGGCGCTCTTTGGACTTAAGCCGGCAGCAAGCTCGAGCGGTGCCGTTGCAATAGAGTCCAAAGGCGCACAAGCTATGCTGCGCACCCTGCTCCTTTTGTCGCTCTGTGTTGGTCCTCTGACGCTGCAATTCCCGGCTGCCATCCATCTCTACTGGCTGTCGTCTGCCGTAGCCACACTTATCATCACGCGCTGCATACGTCTCCTCCGGCCATTGCGCAGCGGCACGAGCAGGCCGTCTCTCAGCCAAGACATGCCCTGGATCAGGCCTCGGACACCGGCAGGCAGGCCTTCCGAGAAGCACTGAGATGCCATTTTACGATCAAGAACATGATATCTATTGGAGGCATGAAACATAAAATCTATGCAGAGACCTTTGCGTAAAGACAGACTATGCCATTATCTTGTCATATGCGATATGTACAACAAATACAGCAAACGAGAAAATGAGATTTGGAACAAATAAAAAAATGATGGTACTGAGACAAGCTTGGCATGTGTTGTGAATAACAAAATCTTTGTGATGTCTGTAAAATGGGAAGGATCACGGTGTATCAGACGCAGAAGGAAATTGAAGAGAGGCCAGGAATATAATAGAAGCCAACAACGCCGGGGGTACAAGAGCAGAGGCAGAGAAGCAGTTGAAGCAGACCATAAAACGCCATGCCGGCGCAGGAAGTGCAAATGAGGGGACTGGAAGTCGAGAGACAGGGACGCGTGTTCGGGGCAGGGCCTCTCTCAACCGAGGAACACGGCCAACAGAACAATAGTCAGGATGACCGAGAGCACCAGCAGCAGGCAGCAGGCCTTGCTACGGGCGTTGCGCTGGTACCGCGCCGCCGACCGCAGCTCGTAGTCCGCACCACGTGTGTCCGACCGCACATTCTCAACGTTGTCCGCAATGTTGTCCAGTTGTTCGCCCTGCTCGTGCACCATCGTGGCCACCTGCGTAAACAGCACGTTGAGATCGCCCACACCCTGCTCGATGTTGCGGATCTCGTCCTCGCGCTCAATGATAAGAGCCTCCTGGAAGTCAACCTCGTCCTG